AGAAAATACAACTGCTATGAATTTGAATAGTGATATAGGCATGTTTAAAATATCAGCAAAAATAAAAGCTGACCTTAAAAATTAGTTAGAAATACTGCTACATTTGAAGCCTCTTCCTTCAGACATGCAAGACTATAGGAAGGGGAATGGAGCTAAATGCAAGAGTAGACAATAATCTGATTTCCTTCCTTCCTTCCTTCCTTCCTTCCTTCCTTCCTTCCTTCCTTCCTTCCTTCCTTCCTTCCTTCCTTCCTTCCTTCCTTCCTTCCTTCCTTCCTTCCTTCCTTCCTTCCTTCCTTCCTTCCTTCCTTCCTTCCTTCCTTCCTTCCTTCCTTCCTTCCTTCCTCCCTCCCTCCCTCCCTCCCTCCTTCCCATCATCCATCCATCCATCCATCCATCCATCCATCCATCCATCCATCCATCCATCCATCCATCCATCCATCCATCCAAAAATTCTGTTCACTTCACACGATTTCAGACTTTACCTCTTTGTCTAAATTCTTGTACTGTGTGTTACTAATGGAAACAGTTAAGCATAATGAAGCAGGTGCTCAGGTTTTTTACCAACTGGGGATGAAAATAGATTTGAACAATCCCCATAGATGATGTTATTCCCTGTTTGAACCTTGCTGTCATCTGAATTTGAATCTTCAAAGCTGAATATCACTAAATTAATTATAGGCAGTATTTTTATGGCTAATAAGTATCTAATGAATTTAAGTATGTTAAAGATGGAGAAGGTTTTTCATCTATAATATAATTTGCAATGCTTTATTTAAACTTCTATTGTTATCTTTATTTGTCTATATCCTAAGCATTCTTTATAGATACTCCTATGTTTCTGAACAAGAATTGTTCATACTGTTCATTTTTCTCCACTAAATGTTACAGCTTAACAAAGCAATTAATGTTCATAAGCATTAAACACGTTCATAAATATAAACCATGGCTGGATGGCAGGATCCCAAGGGTCATGGTGAATGGTGCTACATCCAGTTGTTGGCCATCACTAGTGGGGTTCCCCAAAGTTCACTACTGGGGCCAGTTTTGTTTATATTTTTATCAATGGTTTAGAAGAGGGCAATGAGTGCACCCTCAGTAATTCTGCAGATGACAGTGAGTTGGGCAGAAATGCTGGTCTGCTAAATGATACAAAGGCTCTGCAGAGAGTTTGGGACAGGCTGGATCAATGGGCTGAGGCCAACTGCACGAGATTAAAAAAGGTGAAATGATGGGTCTTGCACCTTGGTCACAACAGCCCCATGCAGTGGCACAGGATGAGGAAAGAGTGGCTCAAAAGCAGCCCAGCAGGAAAGAATCTTGGAGTTCTGCTCAACAGCCCAGGTGACCAGCCCAGGCCAATGGCACCTGGCCTGGATCAGCTACAGTGTGGGCAGCAGGAGCAGGGCAGAGACTGTCCCCCTGTACTGAGCAAAGGTGAGGCCATTCCTCAAATCTTAGGTCCACCTTTGAGCCACTCACTGCAAGAAAGACATTAAGCAACTGGAGCATGTCCAGTGTCCAGGGAAGGGTTGTGGAGCTGGTGAAAGGTCTAGAGAGTAAATCATACGAGGAATTGCAGAATGATCTGGGATTGTTTAGTCAAAAGAAGAGGAGGTTCAGGAGAGATCTTATCTATCCTGATAAAGGAGGTTGTAGCCAGCTGCATCAGGGGAAGTCCAGGTTGGACATCAGGAATAATTTCTTCCCTGAAAGGGTAGTTAAGCGCTGGAATGGAGTGCCCAGGGAAATGAAGTCACCATCCCTGGAAGCATTCAAGAAATAACTGGATGTGGCACTTTATGCAGTGTTTTAGTTGATGTCGAGCTCTTTGTTGAAATGCTGCAGTCTGTGATCTTGGAGATCTTTTCCGACCCAAATGATACTCTGATTCTGTGATTCTCAATCACATAAATGTTCACTAACATCTAACTGTGCAACTCCAGTTCCACTGGTCTAAGTTGATATTATGTTGGGTAACTACTAGAGACATTGTAATTGATGTTTTCAGGCAGGGAAGGAAAAGAATACATGAAAGAAGTGTTCTCTTGATAGGAACAGTATTTCAGCTATTTTTGAAACTTTAAAGGCAGAATTTTTGACAGAAACTTCTTATTATTTACTATTATACCAGGTATATGTAACATATACATAATTTCTGGGAGCTGCACTTGAATATTTACTTTAACTCTTAGTGCAGCTTATCCAGCTATATTCACAGTCCATGTATGATAAATAACAAGCAACCTTGTGATGTGACATCCCTCTCTTCATGAAGGGGGGGGTGTCTAGGATTGACCCCATCCTCTGTACTGCCATCATCAATCCCTTCCCGTTCCTCAGGTGTGGCTCTGGGATGGGGTTCTGACCAGCAGCAAATGCAGCCTGCACCCCAGTGGGGCAGAGTGGTCAAAAATGGCAGTGCTGGTGTGGGAAGCAGCTGCAAGGAACAAAAAAGCAGCTAAACTGAGACAAGAGGAGCTGAGCCCAGAGCAACAGAGTGGCAGCACAGTGAGACATGAGCAATTTAGCTGTCAGAGGTTTGTCCATCATTGTTTTCCATTGTCTTTGACTTAGAGATGGGGAAAGCCATCTGTGGGAAGCTCCCACCAATTTGTCTTTGTCCTGGTGGCCACACAGAACTAGGTCAAGGTGATGGACACCCTTTGAGTGTAAACACTGTCTTAGGTTGCAAGATGTGGCTGGGGATGTGTATTCTATTGCCATCTGATAGAGGTGGGGCAGTTTTCTTCTGTTAAGTGGGTCCCCTGTTAAAAGCAGGTGGGGCAGTTTTCTTTACCTCTTCCACAATCAATCCTCCCTCCAGGAGTTATATGCTGTAAATGGGCCATTGAGTGCCACAGCATGACTGATAAAATTACATCATTCAGTTGTGAGATGCTCCGCCCAGGGGAGGAGCCAAGCATTCCTGCCTGGATATAATCTGAGATTTGGAACACCAGAGGCAGTGTTCTCCACTGGATTCCCAGAGGAAGACCAGGCCCATCTACACCACCACTGGACCTTCAGAGGAAAACGACACTCTTGTACAGGATCACTGCCTCAACAGAACCACATCTGTCACTCCAGGAGGGCTGCAGCCACCATTTCAATTGGACTGCTACCAACACCCTGACCCACAGGGTGTCAGGTCGTATTCTGACTCTGTCCGTGTTGTTTTGTATTACTTTATTTTTTATTTTTATCTTTTTTTTTCCTAATAAAGAACTGTTATTCCTACTCCCATATCTTTGCCTGAGAGCCCCTTAATTTAAAAATTATAATAATTCAGAGGGAGGGGATTTATATTTTTTATTCCGAGGGAAGCTCCTGCCTTCCTTAGCAGACACCTGTCTTTTCAAACCAAGACAAGTACCTTTTTATATGTTATTACTATTTCTGCTATTACTGTGCATTTCTTACTCCACTGCTGTTTGCTTTCAGTAAACAGTTATCTCAACCAATGGTCTCTGCCTTTGCCCCTCTCTTGCCATAGGGGGTGGTGGGAAGAGGAGTGGTTTATTTGTAGGTCTAATTTCTGACTGGTAGCAAACCACCATAGTAGTTTAAAGCAGATTACATGGTCCTACATACCTCTGGATTAAATAAAAATCCATGTAAAAAAAGCCATTAGTACAGGTTGGGATGATAAACATAAAGTATGTCGAGTAGCTAAATTCAGCATTAATCTATACTTGCTGGATACTGCAACATCAGATAATTAAGGTTTTCTTTATATAAACAGAGGAGATTAATTATGGTATTTTAAATAGCATTGTGGAATAATTGACAAAACTGTTTTCATTTTCATAGCTACTGTTACACACTTATCAGAAAATATTAATCCACATATAGCTAAAAATTCTCCCGCAGGAGCTTAATTTGTAGGTTTTTGTGGTTTTCTTTTAAAGAAAACTGTCATCATCAGAAAAACCATGTTGAATATGCTATTGGCCAAACAATGTGATATGAAATGTCTCACAGGTAATATAAAGAGCTCATAGAATAATGTTTTTATAAACACATTATTTAGTAAAAATCTCCTTCAGCACACACAAACCAGACAGCAATCTGTGCTCCCCCTCCCTCTTATCCAAGACAAAAAGCAAACCAAACAACCAAAAAAAACCATTAATAAAAAAGGCAGACAGTAAACCTTTCCAGTTGCTGATAAAACAATTTCCACCTTTTCCTTGAATCACTGTTCTAGCTGCATTGTGCATTCCTTTTCTAGCCACTCAGTTGCTCTACATTTTGCTTTTTGACTCTTTCTATCATGTATTAGTAGCAAGAACACGTTTATAGTTATCCAGATGGAGAGGAACACTGTAAAGGGCTGGAAAAATATCTCTGTGTAAACCATATTAAAGATGCAAAAAGAAGCTGAAACCTGTTGCAGAAAGCAGAAGCAGAATCCAGTCCAGTTTCTGGTGATAAAACTTGATGAATCAGAAAGTTAAATTTTTTGGAAGACATCTGGCACCCAGCCTCTATTATCAGGTTAAGCCAGATGTAATTCTAAAGGATGTATGCAAAAATGCTGAAATTTCACCTGTTTTTTCTTGATGCAACTACTTTACATCAAATAACAATTTTTTTACAGAAGAAAAGTCAATTCAGTTAAATCATTTAATGAAATTTACATTAAATTAAATCTGAATGTAAAAAAAATGAATTTTTTTTTTACTCTGGGATAGTGATTCCAAGAGTAAAACCAGAATCAGAGAAAGGAACAGATGACTTATTCATCCAGTCCCAACCACCTTATAAATTTTAGATATTAGTATAAATGACTAAATTTATACAAAAGCAAGTTTAATATGTTCAAGACATTCAATAGCAATTTCCAGTCAGGCATAAAAACCTTCAGGGAAGGGAATACCAGGAGGAGAAGAAAAAAGAAGACAGTGAGAAAAAATTTCTTTGGCATTAAAGTCTCACTATTAAAAGCCTTGTTTCACGTTTGGTCAATTAAAATGCAGTATAATAAAATATAGTACCTTATAACACATGCATAGAGCCCGCTGTCTTGTACCACTGTTGGTCTGAACCAAATGGAGTCTTCTTCTTTGCTCATTCTGGTTCCATCAAAAGCTATAGGTTCCTCAAAATCTCCAGGTCCAGAGCTTTTGTACCACATCAAACTAAGTCCAGCACTTTGGGCTAGGGAGTAATTAGCTCTAATATATCCATAAAAGAGTGCACATTTTATACGAACAGGTTCTCCCACTAGAACTTGATATTTCTTGTAATCCACAGACCAGTCAGTGCATCCATCAGCTACAAGAGAAGAGAAAATGACAAGAGATTGTCAAAGGTTTTGGAAAGCACTATTCACACAGCAGTCTTTATTGTGGGAAAGTATTGTACTTGAAAAAAAGTCCATTGAGGGACTAGCAGTATACTTTTTAGCCCTGAAAAATTAACTGCATTTTCATGAGGTTTATGTCTTGTACTTGACTATAGTGGACAGAGCCATTAGGACATACATTGCTAAATGTTGATAATCTCTGAGCACTAACTGAGCAATTGCTCTTTTATCTTTCGTGGAACTCCAGCATGACCAGTTATAAAATGCTGAAGTGAAATTAGTGCAACACAGAGGGCATGTGGTTCACAGGGTATCACCATCTAAATTGCATCAATCAAATATCTTCAATGTTACCATGTAAGTGAAAGCCTCAGAAGATATTAGGACAAGGAGTTGTGGTCTGAACCAAATTGTATGAAAGTTTGGAATAGATTTAAAGGAAGAGAAAAAACTGCCTTTACAATAAGACCAAATGCACAAAAAATAACTTCTAGGAAAATTACTATCAATAATATAAGTGGATTATTCAAAAACATGTTAGACAGATCTTAGTTGGAATTCCTGACTTTCCAGAACTACATTACAAATTAGGTTATTAATATATTCTTTTTTTTCCTGTTGAAAAACATCAGCCCTTACCAATACTGTCCCACAATAACTGCTCATCAGAAAGCAAAACTAAATTTATTTGACATGCCAAACCCCAGTAACATAACTAAACCCCAAGGCCAAAAAAAACACCAAACTCACAACCTTGTCCCCTGTATTTTTAGTTAAGAATACCAAAACAACAAAAGGAAAAGAGCTATTTTCTACAATGCCTTCCTTAACAAAAGTTTGTATTTTTTAAAAGCAATTCAACCATGAAAATTCACCATTAGGTTCATACACTAAAAAACTCAGTGTCCAGTCTCAACTGGTTAACCAGGCCCTAATCCAGTCAGTAGAAAGCAATCAGTACATCCAAAGGACAATTTATTTCTTCTCAATACTATGTCTCATATAAATATTTTGTCTTTGAATTTGACACTTTATTAACTTTGAAAGAGCTCAGATAGCTAGATAGCCATCTTAGAAAATCAACTTTTGAAAAGCTCTATTTTCATCCTAGAATTGTTCTGACTTTAACAGAGAATTCCAGCTACTGTGCAAGGTAAAGCAGTATTTGCACTTTAAACTTAGACAATATTCTGATCTGCTACTTGGGAGAAAAATATACTATATAGTGATTTTTTGAATCCTGTATTTAGGTAATGCCACAGTACTTATTGTATATTGCAAAATAAGAAAGAATCAGACATTTTCACACATCCCTGTGTAAGCAATACCCTAAGTTGATCCAACATAGAAAGTTGGGGCAAAAGTGAGTGAATTGAGTGAGTGAAAATTTAGAGTGAATTTGCATTGTGAACAGAATTCACACAAACAGATATTTCATATATCTTTGGACCGTCTCCTCCTGCATTAACTTTTATGACCAGGAAGGGAAAATAATATGTCCCTGTTCCAATTTTCCTACACAACAGTTCCTAAAGATTAGTAAGTGTTGTTACAAGGCCCTAATAAGACTTGTACTCATGTATAAATTGAAGTGAATGGAAACAAAGCTACACTATTAGCTTCCCCTTAGGACCAAAGAAACTAACTTTCATGTAGTCCAGGATTCAATTACATCTTTTATCATTTCATTTTTACCTCTCTGAAAAAGCATTCTCTCTCACCTGATTTTATTTCTCTCTGCTTCTAAGTCCCAATGCCAAAAAAGAATTAACAGCCAGCTCTAAGCAGTGTTAATTTCATTATATGAGTTACCAGGTAATAACTTCTTCATTATACTTTATCATCAGATTGTAATCTTGCTTTTCACTGCTTAATTTAGCTAGTACAGGATGGTTTACATTATTAGTTTGTAAGTTATGTCTTCTCTCTCAGGATATTCAGTTCTAATTGTTCCCAGTTCCTTTAACTTGCAGAATCCATGAGAATATATTGCTGAATAACACCAACTCAAGCTCTTTGTATTGGAGGAAGGATTAAATATGCAGGGCAGATGCCACTGGCTTTGTTTCAGCATGATATTTCTCATAAGGGACCTGGGGGTCCTGGTTGGTGGCAAGATGAGCCTGAGCCAGCAGGGCCCTGGCAGCCAGGAGGGACATCCCTGTCCTGGGGCCATCAGGGACAGCATGGCCAGCTGGGCAAGGGAGGGGATTGTCCTGCTCTGCTCTGCATTGGAGGGGCCTCACCTCAAGTGCTGGGGGCAGTTTTGGTTGCCACAATACAGAGAAGACATTAGGATGTTAGAGAGTATCCAAAGGAGGGCCATGAGGATGGTGACAGGACTGGAGGGGAAACTGTATGAGGTCACTTGTCGTGCTTAGCCTGGAGAAGAGAAGACCAAGGGAAGACTTCACTGAGGTCTTCAACATCCTCATGAAGGGAAAGAGAAGGGCAGGTCCCAATTTCTTCACTCTCATGACCCGTGGCTGGACTTGAGGCAATGGCATGAAGCTGTGTCAGTGGAGGTTTAGGTTGGATATTGGGAAACTTCTTTTCAGCCAGTGGCTGGGCACTGGAACAGGCTCCCCAGAAAAGTGGTCACAGTACCGAGCATGACAGAGTTCAAGAAGTGTTTGGACAGTGCTCTCAGGCACATGCTGTGATTCTTGGGGTGTCCTGTGCAGGGCCAGGAGTTGGTCTCCATGATCTGATGGGTGCCTTCTAACTCAGAATATTCTATGATTCTAGAAAAGCCTTCTAGGGATCACCTGAATTATCTATATATTCACGGAACTATTTGTTCATTTTTTGGCACAAACCCCATCAAAATGTCCCACCATATTTTAAGATAATGTCTGCTTGTCCTGGATTCAGCTGGGAGAGAGTTAATTTCTTTTCAGCAGCTGTTACAAGTGCTGTGTTTTGGATTCAGAACTAATGAGCCCACACCTGGAGTGCTGTGTCCAGCTCTGGGCTCCTGAATACAAATTATATGTACAGACAGCAATGTCCAACAAAGGCCCACAAAGCTGATTAAGGGACTGGAGAATCTGTGCTGTGAGCACAGGCTGAGAGCTGAGACTGTTCTGCTTAGAGAAGGCTTAGGGGGGATCTTAGTAATGAATACAAAAACCTGAAGGGAAGGTGCAAAGAGCCAGGCTCCTTCCTCTGGTGCCCAGTAATAGGACAAGAGGCGACGGGCACATATTGAAACACAGCAGGCTCTTTCTGAACACCAGGAAACACTTCTTTTCTGTAAGGTTTACCAAAAATTCACACAGGAGGTTGTGAACCCTCCATTCTTGGAGATATTTAGAAGCCAGAGAGATGTGGTGCTGAAAAACCATTTCTGGTTGGACCGTATGACCTACAGAGGTGTCTTCAACCTCAATCATTCTGTAATTCTGTGCTTTATTACAGTTACACTCAGTGATAACCTTAAAGAAACATATGTCCTCTTCTCAAAGTGGTCTTTGAATGAAGTGAACATGAGAGTGTTTCTCTTCCTGCTTTCAGAAATATTATACCACTTAAACTGCCAACACTGACATTCAAGTCACTTAGAACTGTGTTAACTGAATTACAGCTGGAAGGCTCAATGCCCTAAAAATCTTCCAGGAAAATCCTCACACTCAGCCAATGTGCTAATCTATGTGAAGGTGCTAATTCAATTTTGTCAGATATAATAGAAAATCATCATTCCCATCATAAGACACGCTGTGATATTTTCTGATAGCTGATATTTCAGGAGATAACAGTCGGTCTCTGCATAAAATGCTCCCAATTTCACAGTAACTTAGAAACATAAACAGAAGCTTAAAACCACATAATGAAAAGGAAAACGGACTGTCATGTCCTTAAAAATAATACTGTGAACATTCAGATGATGATAGCATGCATGCACCATAACCAGCACTTTCTGCATGTGGTGTGTAGAGCACGCATGCTTTTTTCAGTCTTGAAAAGCTTGGATGTATCAAAAACTAATTAAAGCCCAATTTCTAGATTCCTTGAGGAACGTAAAGATACATTTAAAAAGACCCAAACATATATTCAGAAAATTCTTTTGATTTTTATATTGACATTGCTACCTTAAAAATGTTACATATTTACAAGTTAAATGTGTGCTACTGGCTTTGCAAATAGGGACAGAAAACAACAAAGTTTTAATATTCATTCAGATTTTTTAATACTAAATAGATTGAATATTTGTAGTCAGTTTCATATTGTAACTGTGTCCATTTCTACCTTGACTGGAAGTTTTTTTTTTTGTTTGTGCAAAAGTAGGGCATTGACCAAATAAATTGTCTAATGTTTCTTCTCTTAATTATGGCTGCTACTGACACAAAATCAACACCTCCAATTACAGTCATTCAAAACAACTATGGGGAAAAAAATAGACTCCATACTTTTCAATGTTTTTACTTATACCGTCATATCATCAAGCAGTCAATCATGTTTTATAAATTGAAATATACTTGAATAATTCAACAGCTTTGAAATTTCAGAACTGCCTTCAAAAGAATGGTTGTAGTCCCTAATCTCTATTTTAATATGCTGCCTGTTATTGCTACACATAATAGCACAATACAGAGTCCAGGATAAATATAATCCACTCAGTTATTTCCTTGAGTGATTTCAAGGTATGAAATAAACCACACTGCATCACTCTCCTAATAATGAGATCGTTCTGCTCAATACACAAGTGTCTTGCAGGCTGTATCTGGATAGGAACCAACACACAGAATATCTAACATTACTAAGAAGGCCTTCCCCTTTATTTTTGGTATCATATGTATCATTTTCAAGGTAAAATTCAGTGCTGAAAAGGACAAAAATATAAAGTTAATAACTCCTGGGTCTGCTATTACAGCCTGATCTCATTTAAAAGCTTCAATTAAAGGGTTAGAAAAGATCTTCACTTTTTCAATACATTGGTTAAAATCTGATTTCCAGATAGAAAATAGGT